ATGAGAGCCAGCCTTGTTGACTTGAATAGAGCCGTGAGTATCTACACCAATGCCAAGGGGCTGGACCAGCGGCTGCTGGCGCGAATCAACCTCGTTGACAGCTACGCCAAGGTAGGTACAATGAGAGCCAGCCTTGTTAACTTGAGTAGAGCCGTGAGTATCTACACCAATGCCAAGGGGCTGGACCAGCGGCTGCTGGCGCGAATCAACCTCGTTGACAGCTACGCCAAGGTAGGTACAATGAGAGCCAGCCTTGTTAACTTGAATAGAGCCGTGAGTATCTACACCAATGCCAAGGGGCTGGACCAGCGGCTGCTGGCGCGAATCAACCTCGTTGACAGCTACGCCAAGGTAGGTACAATGAGAGCCAGCCTTGTTAACTTGAATAGCGCCGTGAGTATCTACACCAATGCCAAGGGGCTGGACCAGCGGCTGCTGGCGCGAATCAACCTCGTTGACAGCTACGCCAAGGTAGGTACAATGAGAGCCAGCCTTGTTAACTTGAATAGAGCCGTGAGTATCTACACCAATGCCAAGGGGCTGGACCAGCGGCTGCTGGCGCGAATCAACCTCGTTGACAGCTACGCCAAGGTAGGTACAATGAGAGCCAGCCTTGTTAACTTGAATAGAGCCGTGAGTATCTACACCAATGCCAAGGGGCTGGACCAGCAGCTGCTGGCGCGAATCAACCTCGTTGACAGCTACGCCAAGGTAGGTACAATGAGAGCCAGCCTTGTTAACTTGAATAGAGCCGTGAGTATCTACACCAATGCCAAGGGGCTGGACCAGCGGCTGCTGGCGCGAATCAACCTCGTTGACAGCTACGCCAAGGTAGGTACAATGAGAGCCAGCCTTGTTAACTTGAATAGAGCCGTGAGTATCTACACCAATGCCAAGGGGCTGGACCAGCGGCTGCTGGCGCGAATCAACCTCGTTGACAGCTACGCCAAGGTAGGTACAATGAGAGCCAGCCTTGTTGACTTGAATAGAGCCGTGAGTATCTACACCAATGCCAAGGGGCTGGACCAGCGGCTGCTGGCGCGAATCAACCTCGTTGACAGCTACGCCAAGGTAGGTACAATGAGAGCCAGCCTTGTTGACTTGAATAGAGCCGTGAGTATCTACACCAATGCCAAGGGGCTGGACCAGCGGCTGCTGGCGCGAATCAACCTCGTTGACAGCTACGCCAAGGTAGGTACAATGAGAGCCAGCCTTGTTAACTTGAATAGAGCCGTGAGTATCTACACCAATGCCAAGGGGCTGGACCAGCGGCTGCTGGCGCGAATCAACCTCGTTGACAGCTACGCCAAGGTAGGTACAATGAGAGCCAGCCTTGTTAACTTGAATAGAGCCGTGAGTATCTACACCAATGCCAAGGGGCTGGACCAGCGGCTGCTGGCGCGAATCAACCTCGTTGACAGCTACGCCAAGGTAGGTACAATGAGAGCCAGCCTTGTTAACTTGAATAGAGCCGTGAGTATCTACACCAATGCCAAGGGGCTGGACCAGCGGCTGCTGGCGCGAATCAACCTCGTTGACAGCTACGCCAAGGTAGGTACAATGAGAGCCAGCCTTGTTAACTTGAATAGCGCCGTGAGTATCTACACCAATGCCAAGGGGCTGGACCAGCGGCTGCTGGCGCGAATCAACCTCGTTGACAGCTACGCCAAGGTAGGTACAATGAGAGCCAGCCTTGTTAACTTGAATAGAGCCGTGAGTATCTACACCAATGCCAAGGGGCTGGACCAGCGGCTGCTGGCGCGAATCAACCTCGTTGACAGCTACGCCAAGGTAGGTACAATGAGAGCCAGCCTTGTTAACTTGAATAGAGCCGTGAGTATCTACACCAATGCCAAGGGGCTGGACCAGCGGCTGCTGGCGCGAATCAACCTCGTTGACAGCTACGCCAAGGTAGGTACAATGAGAGCCAGCCTTGTTAACTTGAATAGAGCCGTGAGTATCTACACCAATGCCAAGGGGCTGGACCAGCGGCTGCTGGCGCGAATCAACCTCGTTGACAGCTACGCCAAGGTAGGTACAATGAGAGCCAGCCTTGTTAACTTGAATAGAGCCGTGAGTATCTACACCAATGCCAAGGGGCTGGACCAGCGGCTGCTGGCGCGAATCAACCTCGTTGACAGCTACGCCAAGGTAGGTACAATGAGAGCCAGCCTTGTTGACTTGAATAGAGCCGTGAGTATCTACACCAATGCCAAGGGGCTGGACCAGCGGCTGCTGGCGCGAATCAACCTCGTTGACAGCTACGCCAAGGTAGGTACAATGAGAGCCAGCCTTGTTAACTTGAATAGAGCCGTGAGTATCTACACCAATGCCAAGGGGCTGGACCAGCGGCTGCTGGCGCGAATCAACCTCGTTGACAGCTACGCCAAGGTAGGTACAATGAGAGCCAGCCTTGTTAACTTGAATAGCGCCGTGAGTATCTACACCAATGCCAAGGGGCTGGACCAGCGGCTGCTGGCGCGAATCAACCTCGTTGACAGCTACGCCAAGGTAGGTACAATGAGAGCCAGCCTTGTTAACTTGAATAGAGCCGTGAGTATCTACACCAATGCCAAGGGGCTGGACCAGCGTCTGCTGGCGCGAATCAACCTCGTTGACAGCTACGCCAAGGTAGGTACAATGAGAGCCAGCCTTGTTAACTTGAATAGCGCCGTGAGTATCTACATCAATGCCAAGGGGCTGGACCAGCGGCTGCTGGCGCGAATCAACCTCGTTGACAGCTACGCCAAGGTAGGTACAATGAGAGCCAGCCTTGTTAACTTGAATAGAGCCGTGAGTATCTACACCAATGCCAAGGGGCTGGACCAGCGGCTGCTGGCGCGAATCAACCTCGTTGACAGCTACGCCAAGGTAGGTACAATGAGAGCCAGCCTTGTTAACTTGAATAGCGCCGTGAGTATCTACACCAATGCCAAGGGGCTGGACCAGCGGCTGCTGGCGCGAATCAACCTCGTTGACAGCTACGCCAAGGTAGGTACAATGAGAGCCAGCCTTGTTAACTTGAATAGAGCCGTGAGTATCTACACCAATGCCAAGGGGCTGGACCAGCGGCTGCTGGCGCGAATCAACCTGGTTGACAGCTTCGCCAAGGTAGTCCCGTGATTGAATGTCAGACTTACTTCCTGTCATCACGCCGCTCCTGCTGCATCAGGTGCAATTGAATGTTGGGATCAGGGTGCAATGCACTGTCCAAAAGTCCAAGCCTGAACCCCGAAATCTCTGTCCAGGCTGCCACCCTGTCCCCTCGTCTCTACATGCCCTCCACCCGCCTCCACCCTTCCCCTCCCCTCCACCCTGCCCTTCTGCCCTTTCCTTCAGCATGGGCAGCAGGCACTAGTGTAGGCGTGCTAGGCGATTGACACACTCCCCGTTCATCCCTTGTGTGTCCTCAACCCCCCTCCACCCTGCTCCTCGGTCCACAGGTGCTGTTAATGATAGAGATCGAGGTGGAGATGCTATGCGAACTTCCGCTCGTCCCTAATGTTCCCTCCACCCATGATTGAGATCGAGGTGGAGATGATATGCGAACTTCCGCTCGTCCCTAATGTTCCCTCCACCCATGATTGAGATCGAGGTGGAGATGATATGCTAACTTCCGCTCGTCCCTAATGTTCCCTCCACCCATGATAGAGATCGAGGTGGAGATTAAATGCGAACTTCCGGTCGTCCCTAATGTTCCCTCCACCCATGATAGAGATCGAGGTGGAGATTAAATGCTAACTTCCGGTCGTCCCTAATGTTCCCTCCACCCATGATAGAGATCGAGGTGGAGATTAAATGCTAACTTCCGGTCGTCCCTAATGTTCCCTCCACCCATGATAGAGATCGAGGTGGAGATTAAATGCTAACTTCCGGTCGTCCCTAATGTTCCCTCCACCCATGATAGAGATCGAGGTGGAGATTAAATGCTAACTTCCGGTCGTCCCTAATGTTCCCTCCACCCATGATAGAGATCGAGGTGGAGATTAAATGCCAACTTCCGGTCGTCCCTAATGTTCCCTCCACCCATGATAGAGATCGAGGTGGAGATTAAATGCTAACTTCCGGCCGTCCCTAATGTTCCCTCCACCCATGATAGAGATCGAGGTGGAGATTAAATGCTAACTTCCGGTCGTCCCTAATGTTCCCTCCACCCATGATAGAGATCGAGGTGGAGATTAAATGCCAACTTCCGGTCGTCCCTAACGTTCCCTCCACCCATGATAGAGATCGAGATGGAGATTAAATGCTAACTTCCGGTCGTCCCTAATGTTCCCTCCACCCATGATAGAGATCGAGGTGGAGATTAAATGCTAACTTCCGGTCGTCCCTAATGTTCCCTCCACCCATGATAGAGATCGAGGTGGAGATTAAATGCTAACTTCCGGTCGTCCCTAATGTTCCCTCCACCCATGATAGAGATCGAGGTGGAGATTAAATGCTAACTTCCGCTCGATGTTCCCTCCACCCATGATAGAGATCGAGGTGGAGATGAAATGCTAACTTCCGCTCGATGTTCCCTCCACCCATGATTGAGATCGAGGTGGAGATGTATGCAGGCGTGCCCACAGCAGAGGCTAGAGTAGGCATGATTGACCAGAACGGCACACTCTCCGCTCGTCCCTTCTGTGCCCTCCACACTGCCCCTCCCTGCCCTCCCTACCCTCCCGCCCTGCCCCTCTACCACCAGGTGCTGTCGATGATAGAGATAGAGGTGGAGATGGATGCAGACGTGCCAACGGCAGAGGCAGTAGGGACTAGGAGGGCCATCCTAGACCAAAATAACTTCCGCTCGTCCTTTATGTGCTCTCCACTCGACCCTCCCACCCTGCCCCTCGGTTCGCAGGTGCTGTCGATGATAGAGATCGAGGTGGAGATGGATGCAGACGTGCCCACAGCAGAGGCATGTCCTTTATGTGCCCTCCACCCCCCTCCACCCTGCCTCTCCGCCCTGACCCTCCGCCCTGCCTCTCCGCCCTGCCCTGCTCTTCTGTCCACAGGTGCTGTCGATGATAGAGATAGAGGTGGAGATGGATGCAGACGTGCCAACGGCAGAGGCAGCAGGGGCTGCGGTGAGTCCTTCTCCCCTCAGTCTATTGTTTTTTCTTCTTCTTGCCCTTCCTGTTTCTCACTGAAGCCCTTCGTGCATCCCTTACTGACCTCCGTGTGTGTGTGTGTGTCATGGTGCTGTGCTGTGTGCCATGCTGCCATGCTGTGCGCCATGCTGTGTGCCATGCTGCCATGCTGTGTGCCATGCTGTGAGCCATGCTGCCATGCTGTGTGCCATGCCGCCATGCTGTGTGCCATGCTGTGTGCCATGCTGCCATGCTGTGTGCCATGCTGTGTGCCATGCTGTGTGCCATGCTGTGTGCCATGCTGCCATGCTGTGTGCCATGCTGTGCGCCATGCTGTGTGCCATGCTGTGCGCCATGCTGTGCGCCATGCTGTGTGCCATGCTGTGCGCCATGGTACTGTGCTTTGTTTCTGAGAGCAGGCGAGCATAGCGGACCAGATCGAGCGCCTGATGGAGGTGGAGAGCTTGCAGAAGGTGAGGCAGAGGGCAGGACTTATTGCTGTCAGGCGGTGTGGGGAGTGGGAGATGGAGGGACATAGTGCTGTGAGGTGGCAGGGCTGTGAGGTCAAAGTGCGGGTGAGCTCTGGCAAACCAGATCGAGTGCCTGATGGAGGTGGAGAGCTTGCAGAAGGTGAGCGTGCACAGGCAGGCCTTGTGGGGGATGCAAGGTCAGGGCTGTGAGGTCAGGGTGAGCTCTGGCAGGTAAGATCGAGCGGCTGATGGAGGTGGAGAGCCTGCAGAAGGAGAAAGAGGAGGCTTCGCGAGGTAAATGATTGGTGAATGGGTGTGACCTGTGACGGCATCCAGCCGCTGTAGGGGCCTAGCAGTTGAAAGGTGAGCCTTGAGGTTAGATTGCTAGCGAGAGGCTAGATCAGTGAGCGTCGCCCCCGACTGTTACCCTGTGTCCCAACCTCCTCTTCCCCCTCCCCCCCACCCCACCACCAGGAGTGGAAGCAACAGGTGGAGGAGCAATGATGCGCTGTTTCCCTTCTTACTGTTTCCCTTCTTACTGCTTTCCCTGTGTCCCTTCTCACTACTTTCTTTCCATGTGTCTCACCCTCCCTCTCTCCTCCCACCACAAGGAGTGGAAGCAGCAGGTGGAGGTGAACGACAAGTTGGAGCGGCTTCTTAGAAGTGATGTGCTGCTTCCTCCCTTCTCACTTCTTTCTTTCTCTGTGTCCCCCCCCCGCCCCTCCCCCCCCCACCACCAGGAGTGGAAACAGCAGGCGGAGGTGAACGATGAGTTGGAGCGGCTGCTGAGAAGCGCGCCTGCTCTGCCCGACTCCGCCTCCTGGCAGAGCTGATTCGAATGGGCACCCGACTTAACGACTTTAATGGCACGCGACTTTCATGGCACGCGACTTTCATGGCACCCGACTTTCATGGCACCCGACTTTCATGGCACCCGACTTTCATGGCACCCGACTTTCATGGCACCCGACTTTCATGGCACCCGACTTTCATGGCACACGACTTAAATGGCACCCGACTTTCATGGCACCCTAAACCGAGGACTTGAAAGTGCTTTTTTGTTGACTCGGGGCAGCACCCTGGTAAATCTGATTTGTACTGGCACATGCTAGAAGCTTGATTGAAACAGTTTGGTACAAGAAGTTGGGAAGTTGCTAAGGAGTGAAGCAGTTGGAAAGCTGCCAAGGGGTGAAGGAGTTGGGAACAGGGCTCAGGTTTGGTTTTTGCCTACTCCCGATTGGTTGGCAGTGTTAGCGTTTTGGAAAACCCTTGCGAGCAGTGTGTGTTTTTCCCAGACACTGATAGAGCAGTGTAACATCAACTCTGTAAAATTTTACACTAGGTCATCAGTGTAGATATATGCTGTTCACTGATGCATGTACGCTTAGTCTAATTTCATTACAAGTAATTTGTTCAACAAATATAAGTTAGACACTCAATACCCATCATGCTCGTCCTCGCTATCAGACGACTCCACTATTGCCTTGCCCTTTCCAGCACTGGGCTTGTAAGGGGCTACTGATTTCGCGGGTCTCCTCTTCTTTTGCTTCCGCCAGATGTTGACCACGTCTGGCCATTTGTACTCATAGTCCAGCATGTTGAGAATCAACAGTTCGGATAGACGAGCGTCGCCGAGCGATGTGCGCATCCAGCTTTTGATTACATTTTGACGGCTGAATCCGCGCTCGCACAACGGAATCACTGCAAGCGCCTGCCACATCGACATCAGGTTGGGGAAGCTGCGTGGCCAGTCCTTGGTCTTCAGCATCTTCGAAAGCCCTTGGTAGAAGTCTTCATCCTCGTAGTGGCGCGACATGACGTGGCAGAAGCTCTTCAGTTCCAGCTCCGCCGCACGGTGGTTGAAGCCTGCCACGTGAACATAAAACAAAAGTCACCATCATTAGTATACCGACTTCGCTCTAGCAAACTGCACATGGATGGGAACTGACTGCCACGTGAACATCAACACACCTGGCAGCCTGTTCTTGAAGACACGCGCATTGCCATCCAGCCACTGTACCACCCGTCGCTCCCGTTTGTCTGTCGCTTCTGGCCACGTCTCCACCTTGTACAGCTTGCTGCCCTCCATTTCCTTCAGGCTGTGCATGCGTGTGTGCAGATTTGTCGCCACCTCCACCGCAAACGCCTTACAGAGCTTGATGCAGTCGGCCATCGTTCCGCCGAACTTGTGCCCTTTTATCGGCTCCTCGCTCAGCTCGATCTCATGCGATGTTGGCTCGCCCTCCGCATCCACGCCGTCCACTTTGATCTTCCTTTTCCCGTTGGCCATACGTGCGATGAATGGCGACAGCAGCTTGCTGACCCCCCCTCCGAAGCCGTTGTCGTATTCCACGTAGCGCAGCCTAATGCAGGCGATCGTGCGGTCCACCTCCTGGTGCACGAGCGTGATGTCAACCTGAGATTGAGGCGGGAACAGGAAGAGTGCGTTAAAATGTTGTTCAATATTGGCTTAGCGAAATCACACGAACCGGCAATCCAAGAGTCACTTACTTTCCGTCGCTGGAACCATTTGTTGAGGGCGTTGATCTCCGCCAGGAGATCCGCCAAGAAGTAGACGCAGAAGTGGAACTTCAGCGTCTGAAGCATGGCGGCCAACTTGTGGCCGTACTCAATGAATACCACGACCGCCACACCAAGGACCTTGCACAGCCGCTGCACAGCATCTCCACGCGACAGCCACCTCACGTCAAAAAGCCCTTGGTGCTCCAGGTTTGTCTGGTGAAATTCTTGCTGCAGCTCCTTGAAGCGTTCATGCCAGACGGAAGACTTGGTGACGATGTCGCCAAGCCCTCGGATTGCAGCATCGACGATGTCAAGGTCCTTGTACTTCAGCGCCAACTCCTTCACCGCTAGTACTTCTCTGCACATTAAAACATTTAGCATTAGGCCACTTGTAGTAGTCGGTAAGAACAGTATGTGATGAACGAAAGCGATAATTACCTATGTGCGATGCAGTGCGTGCCGACGAGATGAGGGATGCGCTCACGGAGGCGCACCACAAGCCCCCTCTCGCAGCCAACCATCACACCCGCGCCGTCGGTGCTGATGGCGACGATCCTCTGCAGATCTACACCGACGGTCTCCAAGTGGCCCAGCAAGACGGTGAAGATAGAAGCGGCGTCACACTTGTGGACGGTTAGCAGCGCAAATAACTCGGTCGCCACCTGACGATCCTTCAGGAAAGTCACGAACACCACCAGATGCTTCCCGCGCGCTCTGTCCGTGCTCTCGTCACAGCTGATGCCGATCCAAGGTGACGAGTGTATGTACATCAGCTGTTGTTGCTGCTGATAAGTGCTCATTGCCTTCACCATCTCCTGGAAACCGTACCTGCATGAACCGCATACACGGGTAAGTCATCGCTAATGTTGTGAACACACCCTCTACATGGGATACCCGCCCCGTACTCACTCAGTGATGTAAACGCCGTAGCCCTGCTGAGGGATGTCGGAAACACCCTCCCTGGCCAGAAACTCCACGAGGCGCGGGAACATTGAGATCGGTGCGTCTTCGTCGCAAACAAACTGAATGCTCCGCATGAGCCTGATCACGCGCGCGCCCTCAGGGTCGGCTCTCTCGTAGTCGGCAATTTTCTTCTGCGCCGCCAGCTTGTCGAAGAGACCCTTCTGACGATCGATGCAGTCCTCGTGGCGAGTGCTTGCCTGGTGCGCACGCATAGACGCCGGCTGCAAGTCGCGTCCGCCGCAACCATTCCTCCCGTAACGTGCGTTGTCTGGGCCATGTTCACTGCACACACTGCAACGCAAACGAGGCAGCCCATCCTCACCCTTGTCGAGCAACAGCCAGTCGAATTGCGGGAGCCATTTCGTGATGTAGTTTCGCTGAGCCTCCAGGAACTTCGCTGTCGTGCGTTCAGCGGCATTCAGCTTGAGAGGAGACGGCGCTAGAGTGACAGAGGGAGGTGGCGGAGGAGGAGGTTTCACGAGAGGCGTGCCGGTGCCAAACCCAATGGTCGTCTGCGTGTAGCGGGGTCGTTTCAGCGCCACCGAATTAGAAGATTCAGGTGCTTCGGTCACGATCTCCGTCGTTTCCACGTGGTCGCGGACAATGGTGTCCGCCTCAACGCGTTTGGGAGCCTGCCATACAGCGTCCTCGTTGCCTAGCTCCTGCTGCCGCGGTGGTGACTGTGGCGGAACTTTGCGCACGGGATATTGCCACCCCTCGCTGTCAAAAGAGGGCTCAGGCAAAGGGCTGGTTTCAGCTTCTGTAACAGGGCCTCGCAAGAAATCGAGGCCAGTCCTAGGCCTGTTGCTACTGGACGGGTCTCCATCACCAGCATTGGGATCGTACTGGTCTCCAGGAGCTGCCATGGGAACGAGGTAGACGTCGCTCGGTTACTAGATAGTGGAAAAACATGAGGCACTTTGGGGTGGTGGTGGAATGACGGTGCGGGGAGATGTCGCTAGCTGTGCTTGCCGTACCGACAAGGCAATGCATCCAGACAGATACACCGCGAGCGCCTCGGTCGGTTACACGCAGAGCATCTCCACGCACCGACTTGCTGTATGTGGTCCTACTGATTACACAAGTACAGGCAGCATTACTGTACTTGCTGCCAAACCGGGGTTTCGTGGCGAGCTGTCAAGGGAACTTTTCCTAACTGACCAATCAGACGCGTGACTGCGGCGTTCTGACAAATTTCGAGGATTTGGGGGGGGGAGGGGGGGTCTGTACGCCCTTCAGTGTAAACTTCGATAACTATAAAATTACCCACATCATCAGTGTGGCCTACAACGATACACTTTCAGATCAGTGTAACACTCGTACATTGAAAATTTACCCCAGAGACTAAGTGCAGACCCAAAAAATCACCCTTCTAATCAGTACAGAAGGGTAAATTACACTTCAAACCTGAGCCCTGGTTGGGAAGCTGCTAAGGAGTGAAGGAGTTGGGAAGCTTCTTAGGGGTGAAGGAGTTGGGAAGCTGCTAAGGGGAGAAGAAGTTGGTGTGCAGTAAAACAGCGACGTGCATTAAAAGCAACTTAGGAGGTTTTTTAGCTGAGTGTACGGCGCGCCTCTCGTTTTGAGGAAGTCAGCCCGTCGGCATCATGGCTAATTTTTGGATTTTGACTACCCTTATGATCAGTGTGGTACAAGGTCAAAAACCTTATTATCAGTGTGACCCCTTCTGAAAACCCTGTTACATCAGGGTTTATGTCGGTTTTCAAAAATTTACCCTGTCGCATCAGTGTTCTTAAAAGACAAACCCTGGTGAATAGCTTTTAACGTTGCACTCAATTCAAATTTTAGTCATCATCATCAGACATGCCACATGGGTGTTCATCGTGGTCACTTTCTTCTTCTGGCTCTGGAGCTTTCTGTTTCCCCTGGCGCTGCCTACAAAGAAACTGTTGTCAGATTACAATTGTATCTCTAGGCTACAGTAGGGTCACTCCTTAGTGAGTACAACACTTTAGGGTTAGGTTTCCCCTACTTGTACTCACCTCTTGCCTAGTTCAATCATTCATTCCTAGTTCTATTCTTGACATGTTATCAGAGTAGGAACCGCTCCTACATGGGCCCACCGTTCCGCCTAGTGGTAGCGCCACGCCCTACACAGTAGCCAGCGCGCTGGTGCCCCTAGCTCTCACTGTCGCGACCCTTGCAGCCCGTGCGCTGCCCCTGCGACCGCGCTGCCCCTGCAGCCGTGCTCGCCCCTACGACCGTGCTGCCCCTGCAGCCGTGCTCGCCCCTGCTACCGTGCTGCCCCTGCAGCCGCGCCTGCCCCTGTGGCCCGCGCGCCGCCCCTGCAGCCCGTACGTCGCTCCTGCAGCCCGTACGTCGCCCCTGCAGCCCGTTCACGCTGCTCCTGCAGCCCGTTCACGCTGCTCCTGCAGCCCGTTCACGCTGCCCCTGCAGCCCGTTCACGCTGCTCCTGCAGCCCGTTCACGCTGCCCCTGCAGCCCGTTCACGCTGCCCCTGCAGCCCGTTCACGCTGCCCCTGCAGCCCGTTCACGCTGCCCCTGCAGCCCGTTCACGCTGCCCCTGCAGCCCGTTCACGCTGCCCCTGCAGCCCGTTCACGCTGCCCCTGCAGCCCGCGCGCAGACCTACCGAGCCGCGCGTCGCCTCTGCAGCCCGTCCGCGCGGCCCCTGCAGCCCGCGCGTCGCCTCTGGAGCCCGCGCGCCGCCTCTGCGGCCCGTTCGCGCCGCCCCTACAGCTCGCGCGCGGACCTGCCGAGCCGCGCGTCGCCTCTGCAGCCCGTCCGCGCGGCCCCTGCAGCCCGCGCGTCGCCCCTGGAGGCCGCACACCGCCCCACGAGTCGCGCGCTGCTGCCTCGCGCGTCGCGCTCTGCTGTAGCCCGCGCGTCACGCACTGCTGCAGCCTGCGCCAGCCTGCGCCAGCCTGCCCTAAGGCAGCCTCTCGCGTCACGCACTGCTGCAGCCTGCGCCAGCGCCCTGCCCTGCGCGCACTAACGCCCTGCCCTGCGCCAGCGCCCTGCCCTGCGCACGCGCCCTGCCCTGCGCCAGCGCCCTGCTATACCCTAAATATAATTAAATTGTTTATTAAAAAAAAAAAAAAAAAAAAAAAAAAAAAAAAGGCCCCTAGGTGCTTCTGCCCTAGGAGCTACTGCCTACTACTGCCCTGCTGTGGCCGCGCGCCGCCCTGCTCTGGCCGCGCGCCGCCCTGCTCTGGCCGCACGCCGCCCTGCTCTGGCCGCGCGCCGCCCTGGTGCTGTTACTACTGCTGCTGCTGCTGCTCGTGCTACTGGGAGTGGTGGAGGTGCTGCTGGGAGTGCAGGAGGTGCTGCTGGCGCTGTAGGAGCTGGAGGTGCTAGACCTACTCCTGACCGTCACTGTCTGTCATGGCCACTTCCGCGGCAGTTGCTGCGGCCAGGGGTGGACAGCAGCGGGCACTGCTTCTCCCGGACGACCCCACCCCTCGGCAGCTTCGTGAGTGGGTTATTCAGCAAGGTCGTCCTTGTGGTGGAGGTTATCGTTCTGTTAGGACTGCTGCTCTAGGTGCTAGTGAGTCTGCTGCCGCTCCAGGTGCTAGTGAGTCTGCTGTAGCTCTAGGTGCCCGTGCATCTTCCGACGCTCTAGGTGCTAGTGCGTCTACTACCACAGGTCCTGCCTCAGATGAGGTCTTGCACACTTTCACGCTTGACTCAGGCGCGTCACGTTGCTTCTTTCGTGATTGCACCACAGTCACACCACTCACAGCACCTGTCCCAGTCTCACTGGCTGACCCCTCTGGGGGCCCAGTGGTTGCGAGAGCCTCCACGGTCCTCCCTTGTCCAGCAGTCCCCTCCGGCTCTTTGTCAGGTCTCCACCTCCCCACGTTCTCGACGAACTTGGTGAGCAACGCTGCCATTCAGGATGTCTGGGTTGATACCTTTATTCCTGGAGGGCAGTGTGTGGCGATCTGTACGTGCTCCCGGACTGGCCGTCACCTGGCTACGTTCACTCGACAGCCTGGGTCTAGTCTGTACACACTGACCACTGCGTCTGCACAGGTGGCTGAGTCAGGTCAGGTAGCTGCGTCGAGTCGAGCGTCTGCGTCAGGGCAGTTAGCTGCGTCTTGCTCGTGCAGAGTACTCACGCACGAGACTCAGCGCTGGCACCACCGTCTTGGTCACCCCTCCCTGCAGCGTCTCCGCGGCATGCACTCCCGGCTCCTGGTCTCTGGCCTCCCTGAGACCCTGCCCCCCCTCCCGCGCTCACTTGCGCCGCCGTGCCTTCCTTGCGTCGAGGGGCGGCAGCGCGCCGCTCCTCACTCCTCCGAGTTTCCTCCGACCACTGCTCCTCTACAGACTCTCCACCTGGACGTGTGGGGCCTGGCCCCCGTCGGTGGGACGGACCAGGAGCGCTACTTCCTGCTGGTTATTGACGACTACACACGCTACACCACAGTCTTCCCCTTGCGCCGCAATGCGGACGTCAGCGGTGTTTTGATCCCATGGATCCGTGCTACTCGTCTCCAGCTACACGAGCGCTTTCAGCAGGACTTCCCAGTCCTGCGTCTGCACTCTGACAGGGGTGGTGAGTTCTCTTCTGGCGTCCTTGAGACGTTCTGCCAGGATGAGGGCATCGCCCAGTCGTTCACGCTTCCGGCCTCTCCGCAGCAAAATGGGATCGCTGAGCGTCGCATTGGCCTGATCATGGAGGTTGCTCGTACCTCCATGATCCATGCGGCTGCTCCCCATTTCCTGTGGCCGTTTGCGGTCCGATACGCCGCGCATCAGCTCAACCTCTGGCCCCGTGTCTCTGCTCCAGAGACCTCGCCCACACTCCGTTGGATGGGACAGCCTGGTGATGCGTCGTCGTTTCGGGTCTGGGGCGCGCTCTCCCTTGTTCGCGATACCAAAGCGAGCAAGCTCTCTCCTCGCACTCTCCGCTGTGTCTTCCTGGGCTTCCCCACCGACGCCCCGCCCTGGCAGTTCTACCACCCTGCCTCGCGTCGTGTTCTGTCCTCTTAGGACATCACCTTCGACGAGTCGGTATGTTACTACCGACTTCACCCGCACGCGTCCCACCCGGTCCCCCTTGCACCCCTCTTCCTGGTACCAGTCCCCCCCCCGGTAGACCCCCTCCCCCCACAGGGTCCTGCTCCCTCAGGTGTGTCCCAGGTAGACCCACCCCCCTTGGATGAGCCAGTTGAGATCTCTTCTGACTCCTCTGACTCACCTGAGGGGGGTGACGCCGTCGCCGACGACACGGCGACCACTCGCCGCACTCCTCGCTTGGCGACCCCCCCGGGTTTCCCGCCACGGCCGTCTTCGCCGCCTCCGCAGCCTGCTGCTGTGGACTCTGGAGCTGAGACTATTGGAGCAGGAACTGGGGGTGGTGAGTCTGGGGGTGCCCGCTCTCCTCGTCTGGATACCCCCCCCGGGTTCCCACCTCTGCCGTCTTCGCCGCCTCTGCAGCCTACTGCTGTGGACACTGGAGCAGAGACTGAGGGTGCTGGGACTGAGGGTGCTGGGACTGAGGGTACTGAGCCTGAGGGTGCTGGGATTGAGGGTGCTGAGACTGAGGGTGCTGAGACTGAGGGTGCTGGGACTGAGGGTGCTGGGACTGAGGGTACTGCGACTTTGGGTGCTGACTCTGGGGGTGCTGAGACTTCGGGTGCTGACTCTGGGGGTGCTGCGAGTCCTTCTGGAGGTCCTGGAGCTGGAGGTACTAGAGCTGCTGCTGGCGCTGGAGGTGCTGGAGCTGGAGGTACTAGAGGTGCTTCTGGTGCTGGAGGTGCTAGAGCTACCACTACTGGAGGTACTGGAGCTGGACAGCCACCGCAGCCTGCTCTACTTGAGACGCTCTCGCTGCAGGCGATTCGTGCGTGGGTAGTTCTGCGAGGCAGTCCTGGTGGTGGAG